TCCCTCGCCAGCTGCACCTTGACTGTGTTCTCACTGCGTATCACTCCGTATTCCGATGCAGGAGGGATGATGATGAGGACGACGTCGGAGGAGGAGGAGGGAAGGGCTGATGATGATGATGAGGAGGAGGAAGAGGGAGAGGTAGAGGAGGATGAACAATGGAGTGACATAGGAGTGGTCGCCGCTTAACGTTGTTTTCCTCGTAACGTTGTCACCGACGCAACCTTGTTTAGCACGCGCGGTACTTGTGGCCAGGGGTAGTGATGAGCCTCCATGGCGAAAACGCTCCGGAAGAAGAAAGGAGAGGCTTCGAGGGGCATGGGCAGGAGGAGCGGGAGAAAGGAGACGGGAGGGTGACCAGAGTAGACCCAGGAGGCGCCAGACCCTCCTGTCCCAAGCTCTCGCCCCAAATGGTGCTGCGGGCATCCCGCCTCACTACGGAAGGATGCCTTGTGAAAGACGAGGTCCCCTTTGGGCCTGCAGTTCAAGCGAGAGCGCCGTGCTGAAAAGGAGTTGCCCTCCACCCTTGAAGTATAATATGTCCCGAGGGGTCAGAAGGTTATTGCATATGCTCAGCAAGAACCTTGTTTTGAAACAACACGGACCTCCATACGTGTAATGGTTGCGCAGCTTTTGTTCTACAGTGATGGGCCCATGTTGAACTGGACCCGCCCATCAGCGTGAGTGTTCCGCAGTAAAGAAACTTCCTTCCATCCTTGTAGCTGTCGGAAGCTGTAAAGAAACCGTTGGGCGAGAACAAGTTTTTGAGACACGATTCGCCTTCCATCCGTGTGTGTGGTGGAAGCTTCTAAGACGAATCTGCACCGTGGTGCAAGCGAGAGCCACATGTTCCGCCGTATATCCCTGGCTCCGTTGGGAGTTTTTGAAACGAGTGTGCGAGCGCGATGGTAAATCTGTGCGCGGCGCTGTTTTTAAGGTGAGGAAGGAGGAGGACGAGAGACGAGGAGGAGGAGGAGGACGAGAGACGAGGAGGAGGAGGAGGAGGAGGCGGCGGAGGTCTATCCTTGCCTCTGCGGCCCGTCGTTTGCCGTTTCCGCTGGCCGTCCGCAAGGGTTTGGCGTCCTTGCCACCCGTTCTTCGTACACGTTGTGACCGTAGTCGGCCAAAAAGCAATCGACAACTCCCCACCTACGGCCCTCCATGTTGCGCTACGGCCCATCGGGGGCCGTAGCGCACACCACGCAAAAGCCCACGCCAGATTTCCTGGCATACGCTAATCCCCGTGGGGCCGTAGTTGGGGTGGTGTCGTCTTTGTCCCGGTCCAGCTCTCGTCCGAGCTGCTCTCGAAGGCGGGCGGTCCCCCCGTGTTTGTCCGGCACCGGCTACGGCAGCTGCATGAGCAGGTCTACCACCTCCAGCGAGGCGCTTCGTGACGGCGCCCGCGCTCCACCACAGTCTTGCCGCGTTCTCCCGCGGGCAGCTTTGGCTCGTCGCAGGGCACCGATCCTCACTCGCCACCTCACCGTCGGCACGGAGGCGCTCGACTCTCTGCTTCCAAAGAGGGGGCTCCTCCTTCACCGCCGCCTCCTAGGCCTCCTGCTGCTGGCTCTCAGCCTGCCGCTCCGCGCACTCCATCTGCGCGGCTTTCTGTGGGCGAAGATCAGTGGAGAGGGACAAGCAAGTTCCGGATGTCTCAATCATGGTTTAAACATGTCCGGAACATGCAAACACACATGCTGTGAACATTATCAGGCCATTCTCAAGCATCTCAAACACATGTTGTACTCAATGATAGGATTGTTCGGGTGTCCATTGTCATGGCATCCGCAAGCATGGTTGGCCTTCTAACCTCGGACGCGTCGCCACCCTCGGTGGTGCCTTCCGCAGCACGCGCATCCAGGAAGGCACCGCGGCCTCGACACTCGCCCCTGGGCCAGGTCCTCCTCCATGCACGCCACGGGGGCCCTGACCAAGCTCAGCACCACCGACTCCGCCGCCTTTAGCTCCGACGTGTTCCCGTCGATCTCCACGAGAACCTTGGTCACAGCTGCAGTGAGCACCGTGTCGTCCACCAGCAGCGCCGCGGCCGTCGTGACGGCAGTTGTCGCCTCGCCCTGCGTCTGGGGCTCCCCCAGGCTGCCCCCCTCGCCCGCACGGGGAGTAGCGGCGCAGACAGATCTGCACTCGGGGTCTGCCCTTCCTCGGGCCCCCCCAGGTTGCCACCTTCCTCCCCGTCGGGGAATGAGTCCAGCAACCCGCTCGCCACCAGGCGGCCCTGCCTCCTCGGTCTGGCCCTTCATCAACTCGGTCTCGTCCACGGCTTCGTCGGCACCGCCCTCGACGGCATCCTCGGGCTCACACTTGGCGAACTCGGCATCGCTCATGTGCGGCACCACGGCCTCCCCCAATGCCAGCGTGTCCAGCAACACCTCGAAATCTGCGCCGTGACGCACAGGCTGGTGGGCCGCGTCCATGGCAAACTGCGGCGCCGCTAATCCCAAGCAGCTCCTGCCACCTCCTGCGAGAGCTGGTTGTGCACCTCCCAGCGCAGCACG